AATACACATTTTATATTTATAACACTGCGTAGTTTAAGTTATATTATAACACTCAATAATTTGATTTGTGTACAAAGCACACTTTAGTTTATGTACATTCTTAAATAACATCAACAAGATTGAGAGACGATATATTAGAAAAATAAATCACTATGTTCACGTTCTTGGCACTAGTGATCTATAAGACAAAAATATTTTTATGTTCTTGGCATTCGTAATCTATAAGGTAATATTGTTCATGTTGTAGTTTCACACTCTTGGCGTCAGTGATCTATAAGATAAATTTGTTCACGCGCTTGGGATTAGTAATCTAGAAGACAATATTTGTTCACGTGCTACTCATTCCTAATCTATAAGACAACATTTGTTCATGTTTGTGGCATTAATGATCTATAAGACAACATTTGTTCATGTTCGTGGCATTAATGATCTATAAGACAACATTTGTTCATGTTCGTGGCATTAATGATCTATAAGACAACATTTATTCACATTCTTAGCATTAGTTATGTGTAAGACAACATTCGTTTACGTTATTGGTATTAGTATTCTATAGGACATTTGTTTATGTTCTTAAGATTAGTAATCTATAAGACAACTTTTATTCACATTATTTGTATTAGTGATCTATAAAACAACATTTGTTAATGTTCTTGGTACTAGTAATCTACAAGACAAAATCATTCACGTTGTTGGCATTTGTAATTTATAATCCAACATTTATCCATGTTCTTAAGATTAGTAATCTACAAGACAATATTGTTCACGTCTTTGGCATTACTGACCCATAAGACAACATTTGTTCACGTTCTTGGCATTAGTAATCTATAAGACATTTATCCCTTTCACGACATTAGTAATCTATAAGCCAGAATTTGTTCACGTTTTGGGCACAAGTGATGTACAGTATAACTGATTTGGCCACGGCTTTGACATTAGAAATATACAATACATTTTACTGATGAAAGTATTAGTTGATATAACCCGAGAAAATATTGTTTGAAGCTACATCTACAATTATTAGAAATAAAGGCAGAAATAAAAAATTTTTACAGCTGAAACTACTATTTGATAAAGTATAGAT